CGGTGAATAGTTTTGAGACGAATTCTGATTGATTTGAGACCTTATTTCTCAAGAAGACTTTAAGTCGTTGCAGTCATGCAACAAGTCTTAGAAAATTCCTCCAGCTACCGTAATCCGAAAACTTCATTAGCGAATGATTCTTAACAAAGACAGTATTAACGGTAACATCGCATATCGTTGAAACAACAGCGGGTCGTTTATTTGGTTCCTTGGGCCATTCGTCAGACTTCTTGCTTAGAAAGGCTGGATCTGTGAGCCAAATACCCTTTTCCAGCCTGTAACCAGCTATGCCTCTGGAAGCAACGTCCGCTGGATTGCTCTCCGAATTCACATACCGCCATTGCAAAGGATCTAATAAATCTAATATGGTAGAGATACGCTTAGCTACAAATGTTTCAAGACGTGAGGTGGTGCTCCGTGTAAGACGACCATTGAGTCCGCCCACATGGTCTTTCGGCCCTGTGTCGTACGTTGTGAGACAGTGGGTTAGTTCAGTACTCAGCTCTGTGTTCTCTTTCGTCAGAGACGCAACAGCCCCGTCTTCTGATCTGTACAACAGTGGATGGTGGCGCATGGAGCACCACGCGACATAATTTGTCTTGCGCGACCAACAGTTGCTGGTATCGTGGCTAAGTTTTAGACAAGAATGGCGTAACCGATTACGTTCAAAGAAAGCTAGTCTTTGTGGCAGGTTGAGGGCGACAAACATGCCGCACCGATCGACGTAATGGGCTTCTTCGCACTGCAGACACTGCCGGCGCAGCGTCGGAATTCTAGATACTGTGGATGTTAGTGCAGTTTGTGTGTGATGCGTAGAGGCCTTATTCATCGATACTCGATCCCCGGGGACGACTGTGCGCTGGGTATGGACCTGAGGAGTGGGATTGATGTACCATCAATACATCAATTCTCACGTCCACAAATTCGGTTAGATCTGGGAATGTTGGCTCCCTACCCAGGCGTAATATCGATGAAGCGGATTCTGACCATCTGAACTGAG